GGGGAAAAACATGTTGCAGATCTAGAACATAAAAAGCATTACATGGCATAAGTAGAACAGTGTGTGAACTAATATTTTGATGGCAGAAGTGGTGCACTGCATATTGTTCTTGGAAGCTCTTGTTTTCAAACTGACTTGCAGAATCACATAAAAAATAAAACCAAGCATACTCAGCTTTGTTGCAACAAATGCTTGGCTTCTTTACTGCAAGATCAATATAGCAATGGTACAGGCAATTTGCTGTCAGTGTTTCTTTTTTAACAACTCTACTTGGGAGATATAAAATGGTACATAAAATGTGAAGATATATGCATTTTTATTTCTTTTTCACACTATTTGGCAAATTTATTTTCTTAAGGTCTCTCTTTATAGAGTACTACAAAATGTCAGATCCCTTGCCTGATAGACTGAAGCTGCTTTTATAAAATGAAAAGTTCAAAAAACTCTAGAAATTCAAAATAAGTGTATATTTTTTGTTTCAGTGGATTGGGACATAATCAGTAAAGTTCTGCCTTGAAACATCTGTGGTTTAGAAGAAGGAGATTTGCATCTCAGGGTTTGACATAGGCAATAGTAACAAAATATAAATGTTCTGCAAATACTGAAAAATCCATGGACTTCCTTCCATTAATGGAAATCCTCAGAATGGCTTGTAAGGAAATCCAAAGGAAGAGGCTTGGGAGGGTCTGCAAGGTTCCCACAGGGAAGTGGAATCTGAGGGCTGAGCTGCAGAAGACAAGAATTTCCGATATTTGTCTATTCTGCTTTCCATGTCAATCTCTTGGTGACTGGGTTTTATCCAGTTTCCTGAAGCCAAGGATAGAACCTTGACTAGAAGGTTTAGAGCCTGTGAGGTGACATGCATCAAAGTCTCATTTTTGTCTTATTTCTTAACTAGCTCTAAAGTCAGCTGCTTGTTTTGACTGGCTGTCCTTGGGTACTAACAGGAATGTGACTAAGCAGCACAGCCTTTGAGCCTGTTGGTTGTTCTGGTGTAGATCCAATTGGAAGGAAAATTAAATTAGTACTGTTTACATTTGGAGGGTGGTGTGAAGCCTTGGAGTAATTTTTTTGTTTATTGCCTTGAGCTTTGTCTCTAAGGGAAATGACAATTCTCTGTCTGCTGTCTGCTAGGGGCAGAATTGAAGAAGTCAACAATTTCAAAATGTTTAAAAACAATTTCCATCAGACTTTCTGGATCTTGCAAAGTGAGCTTTGGTTTTAATGAAGCTTAAGATTGGACAAAAAGTATGTAGAAGTTTAATGTATTGTATCAAGTCCTTCCTTGACACAAATCTGATCTCTCTGTCTATATTTTTAGGGACACTGAATTCTCAGGTCCTTTCTTAAACCAGCAAGGACTACTATAAGTCAAAGTAACTTTATATCTTTCAAGCAGATACCCTTGGTTTTAAAAATTGCTTTTGCAGTTATGCTTTTATAATACCTTTTATAAAGAAAGTTTGAATTGTCATAGTTAAATCATGAGGGGGTTTTTTCCCTTTTTTTTTTTTTTTTTGCAAACTCGGGAGACATACTACAGCTGTCTTCATATAAACAGTGTATAAATCAGCAGAGTGCTACTTGGATTCTTACATTTCTAAATATGTTAGAAAATGCCATGAGTTACGTGTATTATTTACCAGGGGATTAATTTTTTTGAGTCATGCTGCTGAATCTGCATGAATACTAACTTCAGTTGTGGAGATCAAAGGTGATTAGATATGATGCAATAGTGTTGCCTCTTCCCCACTTGGGTACTTCTGCTTACAAGGAACAGAATTCCTGTGTCATACCAACCTGGTGGACCTGCAGGGAAAGGAAAAAGGGGTTTCAACTGGTTCCCTGACTTTGAACCAATTATTGACCTCTGATAGTCAAATAAGAATAATTGAAGTGTTCTTTTTGTGCCCATGGAGGTGGTTCCACTTTCAAAAGTCCACTTGGCACTGCATCACGTTCTGGTGGCAATTTCTGAGCTGATGACTTCAACCATTTCAGTGACATGAATTTCTCACACCCATGGAGAAAATCCAGACTGTCTGCATGTTTTGCTTCAATGAAATCCTTTATTAAACAGCTGGTAGTGTATTATCCTTTTAATAACTTATGGTTTCAAACTGACTTTGGAAGAATATTTTAAGAATTTAAATTTAAATAAATAGACTATGAACACGTGAGAGAACTAATAATTTATATTAACATTATTCCATTCCACCCTTCTTCTGATGAAGTTTAAGTCTTGCTCTAGAAATCAGCAGATGATTTTAGAAGGCTCCAGAATATAGTCTCCTCTTTGCACAGTTGCTTGCAATTTTGTTACATGATTTTTCAGAAGATGTGATGAACCCCCAGAACAGGGCAGTCTCTTTGGAGGAGTGAGAAGCTCTCTCACTTTATACTCAAAGTGATGGCAGCGTGTCTTGCTGCTCTGCCACAAGTGTTTAAGCATAAAAATGCTCATGCTCAGGGCTGCAATGAGATTCTCTCTGTTACTCTGTTTCTATATAGAAATCTTGTCCTCTCAGAACTTCAAAAAGCTTTTATATTAGTTTTAGACATATAAGAAAGAAAATATTTTTTAATTTCCACATAATACTCTCAAATAATGTTATTAATATGGTTAGGAAAATCTTATAAAACAAAATTTGTAGATAATTAGATTTTTTCTTATTATTTCTAATCCAGGGACCTACAGCTGAGTTGTTTAAATGTGTGTCTGCAGACATAAGCTCTACTTGCTCTGTGTGAATTTAGATGTATTATTTTTTGTATGTCTGATATTCAGAAGAGGCAACTGAAATATTCTAGATGAAGCTTCTCCAAATCAGAATCCATATGATGTATTAGTTTTCCTTGGTGTCCTGATTTACTTCATGCAAATCCAAAATCAAAGCAGAAGTTGTTTATGTTGAACAGCAAATTAATAGATTAATTTAGATGTGATTACTTCTAAATGCAAATTACTTCTAAATGCAAACACGTCTCACAAGTGTTCTAGATAATATGAAAAAATAAATTTTACAAAGTCTAAATGTAGCTACTTTTCCTTATTAGCAACATCTACTTTTTTTTTTTTTTTTTTTTTCTGGACATGTAATTGCATTGGATTTGGCATTTATTAACTCCAGAGAATGTGAGAGAGGAACAATAAATGAATCCTTAAGTACATCGAGAGGCAGATTAGTAACTTGTATGTCTCTATTAAGTCAGACAAGATGTATGGGATAAGGACATTGGTCTGTGAGCTCTGTTGAGCTGTCATTTGCTGCCCAGTCCTGTTTGCAGAGTAAGGAGTATTCTGTCTGAGTTTGCCTTGTGGTATTGGACTTCTAATAAATAAAATGTAGACTGTCCTGAAAAAACATCCCATGTGAAGCCAAAGGAGCTGTTCAAGTTTGGGTGGGCTGCTGATGTCAGAGAGGAATTTGCCCAGTGGTTGTGGGTGAAAAGCAGATTCAGGGAACTGGCTTGTGTTTGTGTTGGCTTGGTGCTCAGACATTCCTCTCCTCCCCTCGCCAGTTCCCAGCTGTGTTCCTGCCAGTCCTACCAGCTTCCTTAGCAATGTTCCTGGGGGCTTCCTTTGCTGCTCCCATAGAAGCCATACAGAAACACTCCATCAAAGGCTTCATCAAACACATTCAGTATCCTTTTTTATGTGTTCACTTTGTGCCTCAAGATGTGGTGACCTGCAAGATATAGGTAGGGTTTGGAAAAACAGAGAAGCATTTTAAAAGAAGTAACATCGGTTTGCTGGCATATTGAGCTTTAGGTTTCTCTCTTCATTCATTATTATTTTTTAGTTTTGCTGTTGAGTTACTTTTCAGTGCATCTTTTTGAACCTACAACCCTGCACATGGACAGCCTGACCCTATTCTCACTGCCCAATAAATCAGTGTACTCACAGCATCAGTTGTAAAATATCCCGTTTCTTAGTTAAATAACTGCAGTGCTTTAAAGGCTTTGGAACAAAAAGCCTTACAGTGTTCCATCGTTCTACCAAAAAAGTCTTCATGTGGTTTTAACGTTAATAACAGGGAGAAATAATTTACCATCTTCTGGCAGATTCCTGGCCTGGAAGATCAGGCTTTCCTCACACAGGAACTCAGGTTACAAAGGCCCAGTGGCAGCCAGCCTGTAAAGGAGGTATCTGCAGGGCAGGAGTCCCAGTGGCCTGAGTTTCCCTGGGGCTGTGTCCCTGCAGAGCAGGGGGCCAGGGCCACACCTTGCTGGGCTGCTGTGGCCCTTGGGTATCCTCTGCCAGATGCTGTCTGCTGAGCTGGTCTGGAATTGCACCATATGGAATTATGGGCTCTGGTAGTGTTGTCTCTGGAGGTCTGTCCATGTGTAGCATTTCCAGATGTGACTGAAAGCTTCTGTGTCTCCACTGACAAGTGGCTTTTGTCACCATGGCACCTCTGGTGTCAATAAATTGTGTTCTGCTGCAGTGTAAAAAATGTGAATCTTCTTGCTGAAGTCAAGGTACTGTGTTCTTTATGCAGCCTTTAATTAGGAAAATGTGAATAAATAAATAGCTGTTACAAAAGCGTGCTGACCTACAAGTGGATTCTCTCCTTGAGAAAATCCATTTTTGGAACAGTCTTGGCACGCTTTATTAGATCAAATTCTGGATTAAGTTTTTACTTGTTGCTCAAATCAATCTCTTCTTTTGGAGGGTGTTCCCTGGCTGGTTGCCATCCTCTGCTTAAAGTTCAACAGAAGTAATTCAGGAGAGGCACATGTATGTCCTTTGTAAAACATTAGAGGATTTCTAGGATGATAAATCGTGTATGCCTGAATGTATTTACATTGCACTTTGGGATGCATTGATGCTGTGAAGGTGTGAAGATTAGAGACAGTGTTGAAACTATTTTACTCATTTACATGCTGTCTTTGTATGTTTTTAAATGTACAATTTTAAAATACTCGATTTTCAGGTAATTTAAATGTTCTCTTTGTGTATTTTTTGATACATAATTCTAAAATATTCCCCTTTTCAGGTGACCATGGCCAGAATTGGGATTAACGAAGGTCGCTCAAAGGACACCTGTGAAACCATACTTTTCGCTCTCCGAATGGCCACGTGGAATCAGATTTTGGATCCCTGGGTGTACATTCTTCTCAGGAAGGCTGTTCTTAGAAACCTTTACAAGATCACAAGCGGATGTTGTGGCATGCATGTCATCAATTTACACATGTGGGAGCTCAGCTCCATCAAGAATTCTCTGAAGGTTGCAGCAATATCAGAGTCACCAGGAAGTTCCAAGCAGATAAACCTCCAACCTCTCAGCTCTATGGGACAGTAAAGTGTAGTGTAGCTCAGTCTATGAAGAGATGATGGAGGCAACTCTCCTGCATGGGCAGTACCTTAAAATGAATTCCAAGGCTCAGTGGTTTGGCATTTGTTATAAATTGTGAGTGATTTGCTATTGTTGCTTACCAGTTTGATATTGCTACTCCAAAAGATGTCCTTGAATGATTTAATTCACTTTAGTACATGGAAGGGAAAAATATAGATGACTTAGCATTCCACTATCAGTTTTGCAAGGGATGTATTCTAAAGTGAAGAGGGCTTCTTATAACACTCCCTACCAAACCTTTCACCTTAACAGGTGCATTAAAAGTGCAGAAGTGATCTCCAGGGTGATTTTTAAAAGGGGTAGATGTTTTCTACCAGAGATACCCTCAAATTCTTTGTAGAGTCATTGTTTTCTAGAATAAAGTCAAGCATTCTTTCTATAAGGGTATTCTGTGCTTCTAGGCATTGAATTTACCAACTGTATATAAAAAAGACATGTTGCTTGTGTCCAGTTTATTGAATGATCCACTGTGCTTGGTTCATTGACTTGATCTCTTAATTATTTACTGTTCCATGAATTTTTGGGAGAGCTGCAAACTCTTCATCAGTGTTAGTGTTCCTTTCAAATCACTGACAAAACCTGAGGTTCTCTTTGGGAACAGAGAAGCAAATGAGCTCAGCTTCCTTATAGTTATGTTTTGAGGTGTATTGGTGAGCTTTTAGTCCTTTCAGTAAATTCTGTTGAAACTAACAGGCATAAAGCAGTGGTTAGTCTGTGAAAACAGTGGTTTCCCCCTCCCTCCCAAAGTGAAGGATGATTCTGGAAGTATTCCCCTAGTGCATGTAATGAAATACTCATGTGGTACAGCGGCTTCATTTGTAAAAGGTCACATGTGTGTTGTGAAAATGTGTGTGACCAAAGGAGCACCTCTGCAGGAACTGCTTAGGGAGCAGGGTTTAGTTTGTGAAAGAAAACTGAATGCTCAGTTTTGCAGGGTCTGTGTCTGAAGAGCTGAGAGCATTCCATAGCTTGAAGGTACCAGAAAATTTTCAGGACAGCTTCACAAGGAAGGCCCTTCACCTTTAATGCTGCTAAAAGAAGCTTTGGTTTTTGTGACTGTAAGCTGTTCAGAAGCCAAAAAAGAGAGATAGGTCTATGTTATTTTTTAAGATAGGTCTATGTTATTTTTACCTTCTTAACTTCAAGTAACTACATTAGTGAAGTGTTGGTATAGTTGAACAAAGTAGTTAAAAATAGATTCACTAAGAAGACAGTCTGAGGGACCAAAACTATTCGCAAATACAAATTGATGTTGTATGTGAGAATAGTTTGTAAGTCAGAAAATAAAAACCCAGAAGGTTTAAATATTTCTTTTTTTTTTTTTTTAATTTTTAAAGCTATTTCCTTTTTGTTTTAAAAAGGTTGAAAATTAAGTGGGTTAAATAACCCTGTACTGAAATGTCTTTATTTACCCTAAAGAATTTCTGTATGTGATTTTTTTTCTCAGTCATAGGGCTGATAAATGGTGGACAGATTCGATGCTGGTATAAGTTCTGCACTTCATGTGAGTTCTGCTGAAATCTGGAAGCATTCAGTCAGTGCTCAACTTGGCTTTTTCATTTCATAGAATGTGATGTCAGTGTATCTGTTGACATAAATTATTTGTTCCCTATGGAAGATTGTTGTTTTAGCAGCTGCAAAATAATGTTGGTCCGTAAATTGTTGAGATGTTTGATTGGTGAATGAAGCTTGAAATTGCTCCATTTTGTTGTGTGAATAAATGTAGCTTGTGTTGTTCACTCTGGTTGGTTTGTAAAACAACAAAGCAAAGTTTATATGTATATGTGATTTCTTATATTTTGTGTACTGATACACACTGAATGTAAATTGCAAAGCCTCATTAAAGTTACCAAACTATATCCTGAGAGTTAAGGTGTTTTTGTGTAACCAAAAAGATCCTAAGTTATTAGAAATAATCCCTATGACAAAAAACGTCATACTGGGTTCAAGCCAACCACTACCATTCCATGTGTGTGAAGACAGAGAGGAGGCCAGTGAGAATTTGGGTAAGAGGTACCAGGGTTTGTACATGGCCAGAGCAGCTGGTGGTCTGAGGCAGACAAGGTCATGTTCTGATGACCCATGCTTAGAAAATGCAAATAAAAGTGGAACTGAGGCAGTTTGGTACTTGGGATGAAAGTGTTTTTATCCAAGTATCTGCCTGTGTTTCACATACGCTATAAATCCTGAAAAAAACCTGAGTTTTGCTGTTGCTATTTTGCCTTGCTCAGTGATGTGATAGCCTGCAGAGGCAGCTCAGGATACAGTCACCCAAGGACCTGTTACCACTGAAAGTGATGGGATTATCATTTCATTTCATTTCATCTCACAGAAGAGCCAGCAACGTGCTGTGTTGTATGATTAGCAAGTTATATGTTTTATGGAATATGAGATTATTAAAAAAACAGCGGGATGGCTTCACATTAGGTTCTGAGTATTGCCCAGGCAGGGAGCAAAGGACAGTCTGCTTAGAGATGTGCTGATGGTCTCTTTAGAAGTTGGCTAACGATGCGGGCAGTCATGAGCTGCCTGTTTATTGCTGGCAGTAATTAGTGCCTCCAGAGCAGGCAGGGGCAATAAGTGCTCTGGTGGGAAGAAAGTGAATCTCATTTCTGACTAATGACTGGGGAAATCCTTAGGGTGGGAGAATATTTTAATCTAATTGGGATTTTAAGCAACAGCAGGCTATATAAGGAAGCACATTATCTTGAAATGAAGTCAGCCTGGGCTGAACCAACGTGCTGAAGAAAGAGACCGTCAGTAACCAGTTGCTCATCATGGGGATTATGCAAATACCTGTAGTTTGTTACCTGGATACAAAGATGGAGAGCAAAGTTCAAGGTCTTTTAGATGTGATTCTTGAGACAAAGTGTCCACCTTGTGTGTTTCTTATCAGATTTCTGTTTATTAAGTGTTTCTATTAGTTTAGTCTGATGTTAGCTACAATTTCAGGAGTAGTAATATGTACCAGTTCTGTAGCCATGGTGATCCTTTAGGACAAGGTGTTGGGACCTTCCAGATGGGCCTTACCTGCCAATGCACTGCTCCAGGATGTTACAGGTAACTCAGCACTTCACTGAATAACAGCATAGATTGGAATGAGATTTAATTTTCTTGGGAAAATGCTCAAATGCCAAGAGAATTTACTATGCCTATGGTAACTTTTATTGCTTCCTTAAAAATAATTAGGTGCTTTTCAGTTTTAACTTCTGCAATCTGCCACCATTAAAAATGGCAAAAATGGTCTTTCATTTCAGCAAACTATTTTCTATTAAGGGTTGCTGCAATATATTGAGGAAAGTATTTACTCTTTGAATAGACAATGTTTTCCTGCTGAATGTCAGTTAATTTTGATACTTACTAGGAAATTTTTAAATACTAATAGTGTAAATAGTTTCAAAAGTGAGATAAAAGAGGGGCTGTTTAAAATGCATTTTGTGTTCTTGAGATAACACCAATTTTAATACTGTGTTGAGGAATAGCTGCAAGGAAAAAAACCAATAATGAGTTCCAATACCCCTTGGCCATCAGCTTGTATTGAGTGTGTATCTCAGGTGGAAAATACTGCCCATTAAAGCTGTGCTGATTAGTTCAGTAACAACTTTCTATTCTCATAAAAATGACTGTTTATAGGTGTGTTGCTCCTTACCAGTGGCTGCAGCAATGTGGTGAGTAGTGGTGACAGGTATTGTGTGTCTCACCAGATGTCTTGGACACTGGAGCTGGGCAAGCAATGGTTAAAATATTATATTTGCTTCTCTGCATGGAACAGCCACTATCACAACTTGCTTTCTGGTGACCATTAATACATCCAGTTGGATAATTTGGAGGGATACCTTCTTATGTTCTAAACAGAACAGTTCAGATTATCAGGTAAACTGCTCTCTCTACACCAAAATGTTTGCCGTTGATTTTACTCAGTTGTTTTGGGAACTCATGCTGTTGTGGGGAGGAGGTCAGGCTAGTGAGCGGGACCTACACTTGATTATCGTTAGAGATCCTTGAATGTAACTCACAGATTCTTTAACTCATACTTTCTTCAGGCTTTCCCAAGCTTTCCTGGTTATTTCATTAGATCTCAATTTTTTTCAGTGAAGGCTGAAAAGCAATGACAGCTGCGGGTCTTTATCATCTGTTATTGGTTTGTCCTTGGTAAGTAGTAATCCATACTTTTTTTGTTTTTCAGTTCACTTTAGCACGGTCTGGGAAATGAAAGCACATTTACAGTCTGACCCTTTTGTAGCTGATGCTCTGCTTTTGTGCAGATGGATGCAATACACATATGTGGTCCACAATTTCTGGCTCAAGTATCTTGAATGCTATCTCTGAGTACAAAATTCATTGGTTTGGGTTTTTTTTGTTCCCTTAAGGGTTGCCATAGGAAAAAGTTCCATCTGGCTCTGGAGAAATGTAGAAGTGATTTATGTTTAGAAGAGGTAGGCAGTGCAATCGAGGAACAGATCTGCTGGTGGAAACAGGGATTTGAGCAGAGCCTGAAAATTGTGCAAGCCCTAAACAATTAGGTCTTACTCAGTACAATTTATTCATAAGAAACAGAAAACAAACAAACATAATATTTGCAGCAAGTTACAGGAAGAATTAATAACACAAAAATGCCAACGGTTGAGTCAATCACAATTGCTTGCTGTAATAGATCTGACCCTCCTCGTGTGGGGAAAAGCTTCCTGTAAATGCTTCAGGAACTCCAAGTGATGATGCTTTAAGAACAAACCCACTTGTCCCTTTCTGCTGCCTCCTGTAAACAAACTGACATCTGAAGTGATTGGACAATGGTTAAATATTAAAAATATTATTTCAAATGCAATTTAAAAATTGTTTATAATTAGGAGAAGTTAAAGAGTGACATAGGTATATGAAAGACTTGGTTTCTTAGCAACACATTCATGGAGTCTTTAAAAAAAAATTCTGTGACTGCAGGAATATAAACATGTATCTATCTAGCTGTTTAATTTCAGCACCATGGTTGCAAAATAAATACTTTCTACAGAAGTTTACAAAAATAAATCTATTTCAGTTTCTTTTTTTGAAAAACAACCTTACTTTCAGTAGGAGGTTGACAGGTTAAAATATTTGAGGCAAAAAATTGTTACAGTAAAACATCTATATGAAGCACCTACCATTTCCAGCAAAATTTATGCATGTGTATCTAATTTCTTCTGAAGGCAGCAACAGAAAAATACTTTGAATTCTGTTGTAATTGTAATTCTGTAAAAAAAAAAAAAAATTTGTAATCTGAACCAATTTCTTTGTTGCATCGGACTGCATCTTTCAGTCCTATTTTCACTTCAGACATGTTGAAGGCAGAGCTGTGGGCAGTGAGGGCTCCAGCAGGGGAATGTAGAACAGTCCATGCCAAAGCAACCTGGTCACCTAGAGTGGAACTTTCTCAATGACACCTGGATAAGTAATAAAGTCTAATTTTAATTTCAGGATTCAAATTTATTTTTATAATTCCTGACAAGCAGAGACTTCCAATAATTCCTATAATACCTTAAATTCTTATGCATGAAGTTCCCCAGATGCCTGAAACACCACGTGCTATCTGCTGCTCCTGGTCTGTGTGACACAGGCTCAAGAGGATGATGAAGAGAGAACTTTAATCCATTATTGCACAGAACAATTCAACCCCTGCTTTCTAAAATGGTAATCTGACATTTTTCATCTCTGTTGAAGATATTCTGTTTTGTCTTTAAACTGAAAGAGGGTAGATTTAGATTAGATATTGGGAATAAATTCTTTCCTATGAGGGTGTTGAGGCACTGGCATGGGTTGCCAGTGAAAATGTGGATACCCCGTCCCTGGAATTGTTCAAGATCAGATTGGGTAGGGCTCTGAGCAACCTGGTTTAATGGAAATTTATTTCGTGTTTCTTGCATGAATTCTCAGCTATGTGTCCCAAACCAGACTTGTCATCAGTGCAGCTAATTCTAATCTGTGTTTGTGGTTGATATAACAGGATTTATTGTTGCTGTGCTTACTTTTCTTACTTGTGTATTCTGATAAAATCTTTGGTGCACTCTATATTTCTGGTAAGATTTTTGTGGTTACTCTTCTTGCAGCTGTGTTGCCTGCAACTGTGGGACTTCAGCATCAATCCCCTTTAGTTTCAACTTTGAGCAGTCCAAACCAAATAACCTCTTTGACTGCACATCGTGAAACATTTAACAGAGCTCATTAATGTTGCTCCTTTATTGTTTTACATCATCTCCTAGAACGGAATGGTCACTTTTATCAGGATGTGAGTGCAATATCAAATTTTACACAATGTAAAATAAAATATCTCCTTCAGATTTATCTCCTTCAAATGCACCAATGTGTTACATGATTCTTTGTGAATATTTTTAACCTGGAGACACGTTTTATGACTGTACTGCAGTCCATAGAATCAGAAACTTGCAGACTGATAGCATATGGAAAAAAAAAACCCTCATTTTCTTTCTGAGTAATTTTGAAAATAGTCTAAGGTGTCTGATTCGTACATATAGCACCTTGCTGGTCCTATGCCTCCCTCATTTACAACCATCATGCAAGGACTTGTGTTGTGGTAATAGTGAGGATTCTTGAGATATGTAGCAAAATCTCCAGGAAAGAAATGCTCTCACTTTTAAAGTAAAATTACTTTGTTAAAAAGTAATTACAAACTGCGTAAGGTGGCCACAGCTCATTGTTCTCTACAGCTATCTGTTTGCCAAGTCAAAGCAGCTCCAGGGTGTGCTCGGTGTGGCAGAGCCGCAGACCCCTGGCTCCTCTTGGGGACCCCATCCACTGGGTGTGGGGAGCAACGGAGGGCTGGAAGGAAGGAAAGTGGTCTGAATGATTTAACATGCAAAGCTGGACA